AAACCCCAAACCCTACGTCCCACAGAGCCAACGTAGGAGGCGGCCGCTGCGCAGCGCCGCGAGGCCGCAGAGGCATGCGATGTCCTTGTACACTTATCTCTCAACATCTTCTCAAGGTTAACCTTTTATTTGTGACAGGGTTATATGTGTACATTTACTTGCATTGTCTATTTACTTTTGCATTTATTCCTGTCTTCCCTCAACATCAGGGCCTCTCTCCCTGAACTCGCTTTGACTTTGTTTTGCCTTTCTTTGCCCTCCTTCTCGTTGAAGCAGGTCCGGCTGCTGGAGGCTGAGCTGCATGCAGCTCGCACAAGCCCGCTGGCCGCGCCGCCCAAATCTTTTTGCCTTCCCTAAGCCCGAAACGCTAGACCCCCTAAACCCCAAACCCTACATCCTAAACCCTAACTCCAAACCCTAAACCCTAAACCCTAAACCCTACACCCTAAACCCTAAACCCTAAACCCTAAACCCTAAACCCTAAACCCTAAACCCTAAAAACCCTAAACCCTAAACCCTAAATCCTAAACCCTAAACCCTAAACCCTGAGCAGCTTGCGATGAGCATTTGGAATGTCAGAGGCAGCTTGGCTCCGGGGCCCCGTCTCTTGCATCGAGCACGAGGCCATCACTACTATTTGCTTAAGAACCCTAAAAAAATATGAATGATCCCTATATGACCCCCCAATAAGGAAGAATGTTTTTGATTTTTCAGGGTTCTTAAGCAACTAGTAGATCATGCTGCGGCAGCATTCAGATGATATCAGATGGCTGTAGGAATGCCTAGGAATCTCGAGTGCCGGATGACAGGTCGTGCGGCGCAGATATGCTGCAAAGGTCGGCCCCCGGCTCCTCTGCGCCCCTTTTGCCTGAGCATGACCCGCCTGCCTTGCAGGGAAACATTGTCATGGCCTCGACTTTTTCTCGGAATCTAAACGTCTTGCTCAGAGCCAGCTTCAGCCGCACATGAATTGCGGAGACTTCAGCCTAGTTCGGTCGGCAGTCAGGAATAGTCGGCAAATTCATTGTGCGAAGATTGGCCCAGATGTGGATGTTTGAAGTTGCTAGAGCACACTCGTTGAGTGAACGGTGGTCTGTGCAGAGCCTGCGAAGTTTCAATTAGGACAGGACACAGGCAGCATGGTGGCTCACTGCCCGTGATGGTTGCCTTGCCCGACTTGCGGAGACCGTCCAGCGCAGGACTATTGGGTTGTTATGGCTGGGTGAGGTGTGTTGCAGAGTGCAGCAGTTTCGCAGTTCGATGTCTTCGTTCGGCTGATGCCTTGGTCGACGAGGCAAGGAGACAAATCGTCCAGTCAGTCTACATGCCGGCTGCAGAGGACGAGGCACCTTTCTTGCGACCCTGTAACTCCTTGCCTTTGAAAAGCGCTTGAGTGTCCCAGCTGGCAAGGAAGGTCCAGTGGATGATGAAGAGGGCGAAGGACATGTGCAAGCATGGAGTGACTCGCAAAATGCGACATCGGCACTCGATGGCCCCAATTTGGAAGCTACATGTTGCAGACGGTTACAGATGTCAAAGATATGTCAGCCTATCTGTTTCAGACCCTGATCCTGCACAGGATGCTCGCG